GTTCCAATACGAATACTTGTACTAAAATTCGAAAAACGAAAAATAAAACCTAAAAATTTCACGTTTTTTTTAAAAAACATATGTAATTTGTTTATTTATAAATTTATAAAGTTTTTTGGAACGCCATTTGAAAAAGTGGTTTTTGACTAATATGAAATTACTATTGCGGAATTTTTTCTGTTAAGTTTTTATGTTAAAATATAGTCTCAAACTTTGGTCCAAAAAATTGTACATTTAGGCGTTAATGGGATATGTTTATAGAGCAAATATCCCACAAATATCTACCATGAATATTTTAGGGATGTCTTAGATGAAAGAACTTTTGATATCCCGGGGACATCCCAGGGATGTATAAGATATTCTCTGCATATCTGTGGGATATCCATAATTTTTTAGATATGTCCCAGAGATATCTATTTGCTGTACGGGATATAGTTGTATATATATAATTTACGCAAAAGATGGGTTTTAGATAATATTCCCAAGTTCAGCCCAAATATGGGCAGTCCCTACATAAGCCCAAATACAATACACATACTGTTTTGCCTTAAATTCGAATACATTTTGAAATTAAACAGTAACAAATTGTTTAAAAATGTTATTTTTTTCACTGTTTCACTATTTACTACAAAATAACATATATTATTTATTATTTTCTATTTTCTACATTCTCATCAAAAATAAGAAAGTCTTGGATTTGTGCGATTTTGAACAATGTCTAATTTTGGTAAATCTTCACGTTTTATGACCCCCTGATTCCAAAAAAATGGTTTTTAGAGAAGTTTATGTCTGTCTGTAGAAAATTTTGTAGTCACGATAACTCGAGTAAATTTTTATGAATCGATTTGCAATTTGGGGGCCTTTTTTAGTCCATAAAAATGAATTCTGAGTTCGTTTGGCAGCTCATTTCTACAAAAAACAACAAAAATACAAAATTTTGTATTTTTGACAATTTTCAAAAGAATTTTTATTTTTTCCTTAAATTTTAAGCAAAAACAAACAACTTTTCCTTTAGACACTTTTTTGTACAACAAAAAACAAAAAAGTTATAAATTTCTTTTTTTAAGTTGTTTTCTCATTTTTACTTCTTTGAGTCTTAATAAAGTTTTAGATGTTTTTTGTACTTTTGCTTCACTGGAAAAATTTTGGTGACATAAATTAGTATATTAAGCAACAAGGGTATAAAGGCAGCCATTTGTTTACGGTGATTTTTGTGACACGAGTGGAGGTCTTGGGGTGCCCTCGACCTTCACTTGTGTCACAAAAATCACCATTAATAAATGGCTGCCTTTATACCCTTGTAGCTTATTATACTATTATACATCATGTGAAAAAACATTAAAAAAGATTTTAAAAAAAGAATCGGCAATGTAAGCATGCAGAAGTAGAAAGAAAGCAGTGAAAAATAATGAAAAATTGAATCCCGAAACGTATCTCTTTATGGTTAGAGTAATTCGTCATTGGTAATTTTTGTCAAGGTTGGCCCACCATTTAATATGAATTTGACAGATACTTTTGAAAAGTGTTCCTATTACACAGAACTTTCCAACAATATACTTCAATTGATCAAATTCATTTTAAAAAAAAAGTTATAAACATCAGTTAGAAAGTGGACCGACCTTGACTGTATTTCCCTACTATAAATTATAATAATTAATTGTGCAAACTTTATAAGTTTCAAATGAAAAATTTCTATCACATGTTAACCCATTAACGCTCAACTCGTGAAAATTCTTTGGTCATTTTCAAGCTACGTAATTATAAATAAAACGGTTGGCAATTTATATCAGAGGTGCATTTTCTAAAAGTTTTGGATGTGCTCTTTCCGATTCCGGTGTCAAAAATAAATTTCGTCTAAACCAAAACTAAATATGGCGGTTTTAATGTCAAAAAACACAAAAAAAAATCATTTTTTCAAGTTTGACATTTTTTTTACCTCTAAAAAGTGTAAGAATAAAATTCTATTTTCAACCATCGGTGCATAAAAATTATACACTTTCGAGAAAAGTAAAGTAGAATTAAAAATTTCAAGATGGCGGACCAATATGGCGTCAAATCTAAAGTAAAATTTTAAAATTTTGTGCGGTCGTAATTTGATAGTTATTAGTAAGATTTTATATGGAAAAACAGTAACATAATACTTTAATAAATAAATAAATTAAAATATTAGAAGAACAATGAACGTATTCTAAATTCGAACGTGTATACAAATTTTACTAAATGATGTTACAGAGAATGGGGGTATTTTTATTCAATTCTTACATTTAGTATCAAGCATGCATCTGTACTAAAGTGTCCATAAGATACATGAGAAATTTACTTTTTCGAATTTTGATTACGTCATCCCCAGATTAATTCCAATAAAAGATAAAAAATTGTCCGAAAATCCAAAGCCGATTGATTAATATTAACACGTGCCAGTAATCGATCGTTGTATGGGGCAAAATTCCTCAACTGCCCAGGACAAAAATCAATTTTCTCAACCGACAGATTGGCTCAGTCGGATAGATGCCTGGCGTTGGTGGTCGTTTAAGGACCAAGGGTATAAGTATCCTTGGTTCGCGCCCACTTGGCTTGGGATTTTTCTGGCACGTGAGACAATCTGAGCGGGAGGTTTGACGTCGAGGTATAATGATGTGCACCGTCGATTATTGTCCGGTACACACCATTAGAACTCGACTGTCGATAAACCGGTTGTACTCAGGAGAGGTTTTCTACAGTTTCCCTCTTCTCTGGCGAGAAAACCCATTGACGGGTGGTCCAGGCGTAATGCGAGTACTCCTAATAAAGTCGGCTGTAGACGCAAATTAGGTTAATATATAGAAAATTTCTAAGTAGAATGGTTATGCTTAATCCAAAATAGTATATTAAGCAACAAGAGGAGAAAGGCAGCCATTTCTTTACGGTGATTTTTGTGACACGAGTGGAGGTCGAGAGCGCCGTAGGCGCCCCGAGACCGGAACGAGTGTCACAAAAATCATCGTAAAGAAATTGGCTGCCTTTATTCTCGTGTTACTTACGATATTTTTTATTCCTAATGCACAAAAGCGGCGATTTCAGTTAGCAGACGACAGGGAGTAAAAGTCATTCACTTGTTCGATTTGTATGAAAATGGCGGCCGATTTCTCCCTTGGGCAAGAAAAATGCATGTGAACAGCTAATTTTCTTGCCCTTTGGAGAACACGGCCGCCATTTTCATACGGTCGAAGAAATGAATGACTTTCCTCCCTGTCGGCTGCTATCAGAAAGCGCCGTTTTTGTGCATGTGGGATAAAAAAGTATTTCTCGGGGACTCTTGTCGAAGTGCGTAAGGCCAATAGGGCAGGAGTATAAACAATAAAAAAAAAAAAAAATCAATTTTCTCGAAACTTTGCTAAAATGTTACTATTATTAGTTTTTTCGATTTAATATATTGATAAGTAAAAGTAATCAAATTAAAAGTATGAATAGTGATTTTTAAAGAGTTTTTTACGAGCTACAAGCTGGTGATAAAAAAATTGTTTTCTTTTCATTTGACCTTAAAGTTCAAGGTCAAATTCTTAATTTCAATATATCTCAAAATCGTTTTTTTATTTTTTTAACCTGTCCCAATCGAAAGCTTACCTTTTTTCCTATAAGCTATGTAAAAATCAGAGTGGGACCATGAAAATTTTTGAAGAAAATAATAATTTATCATTATTTTATATAGAAAATGATGATTTATAATTATTTTCTTCAAAAATTTTGTTCACCTGGTGTTAATACCGAGTTAACGAAAGTCCAATCATTAATAAGATTTATTAACATCCTGTTGGAACTATCCAATTAGGATTAACTCAATGTTAACACCGGGAGAACGCCGAAAACAGCCTAAGGGCCGGTTAAACAACTAAATTAACCAGAGTTTAAGTCGGTAAACTAGGTCTAATTACATTACTAAACCAAGTTTATCGACTTAAACTTCGGTTGAAAAAAGTTGGAACCGGCTCTTAGTGAAAAATTTTCTTGAGTTTCGTACATGTGATAAAACGTTGCATACATTGTGATGAATTTTTATGTGCTGAGACCCAAGGTAATTATTTTCAGTTTAATTGTTTACTTAAAACGTACTCGGCGAATATTTAGGATTAATTTTATTACACTACTTCTTTGAAGATTCGAAAACATATTTAATACATCCTTCGAGACATCATAAAATTAACTGTATATTGTCGGATTGGTTTCAATAGTTTTATGATTTAAAACTTTTTTCCTTTGTAAATTTATTCTAAACTTTAATATGTTTATTTTTCAACGGCGAACTCCAACTCTAAATTGAGGTACATCTACCTTTATACCTATCTATTGTAATTCTTTTACCCTGTCTACACCTAATTATGCTTTCCTCCCTTCCTTTCGCCAACTACCTATATCCCTTCCACTATCATTTCGCCCTTCCACTTTTTTGAAATTTTTGCTTCGAACCTTCTTCAATGTAATCGTTCTCAATTTAATCGTTAATTTAATTACGATTTAATTAATCGTTTTCGAGTGCACTTAACGTAATTGTGCTCTCGACATTATGTACACATCAAACTAATGTTTTATTGTATGAAAGTTATTAATTATTAAATGCAAATAATTTTATTCCTCCTACGATGACCTATCATATCCTGCACGGAACTCCGATAAATATTTATAATAACGAAAAATTATAAAATAAGATATCGGCACCGTCAACATTATGATCCACTTCAAACATTCGCCATCTTGAAAACTTTAGAAATTTAATTACTGGCATGTGTTAATATTAATCAATCTGTTTCGGATTTTAAGAAATATTTTTTTTCTTACATTGGTACCAAATTTGGGGGGTTGCGTAAACAAAATTCAAAAGTTGCATTTTTACGGACACCCTAATCTGTACTTCTATTATATAAATACAGATCGAGGGCATTTCTTGTGCGCTATTTTTAATTTAATATGCGAATTCACAACATTTTTTAAATTTAAGAATTATATCTGAGACAAAGTCAGCATACCAACTCCAGTGTACGGCTGCATTCCAGGATACGCAGCATGTTGAAGAGCCGTCTCCCCGTTGGGTAAACCTTGTGCTGGAATAGACAAATGAAGGGCATCTACATTTCAGTGAGCGCAGCTCTTATTAAACATGTATCGAATTTATGCCCCTGTCGCACCATTTTTAATCTACTTTTATTGTCTTCATAATTACCAAGAATTTGTTTCTAAACTTATTGGTTAATTGGCTGTATTTAACATATTATTAAGTTATACAAGTTTCCTTCCTCCTTTTTTCCTGCTACTAATATTATAAATATATTTTACAATTAACTCTACTTCTTTTGTAAGTCATGTCCCAATTTCTAAATAGTACCACACTTTGTATTATTGCTACACAATTATTTCGGATTATACTCTACTAAGACTACAAAAACTGATGCAAGTTTAGGATTAATTTTTAATAGGTACATTAATTGAATTGGGTCAAATTTTCTCAAAAAAATCAAAGTTGGTCATGGATCTTTTAATTTTTGTAAAACTTGGTATAAATGTGATGTTTTATAACAGAAGATTGTAGAAAAAATAGATTAAAATTTTTTTTTTAAATTGTGGATTTTACCGGGCATTAAACATTAAAGTAAATTTTTTTAAAAACGGTAAAATCCACAATTTCAAAAATTTTAAAAAACAACAGCTAGTTGACAAATAAATACAATAATCCTTTTCTTATGATTTGTTTTTTAATGATTCTATACATTCTCGGAGAAAATTATTTTTAAGGAATGATAATTTCTAGGTAATTACAGAAAATGTTCTAATTAGTCGAAATCATTTTGTTCGTTGTTGAATTATTTAAAAGAAATGAGAATTTTATTTTAATAGGTACTACTGAGTTTAAAGATAATTTTTTTAAATTGAAAAACTAAAGTTTATATATATATATATATATATATATATATATATATATATATATATATATAATATTAATATATTAAATTCGTCTGTACCAAGAAGGCTAGAGACAGGAGGTGAAACTTCGATAGTGGGGATGAGTCAAGAGCCTTTCTTTAACCAGGCGTTTTTCGTTTCGAAAAGTCGCCGGCGCGGTGCTTCTGCACATCACTCACACATTCAAATTCTTGTATACCGTATGTTTTACATGTGTATGATATGATTTTAATTTGAGGTTAACTTTAAAGTGCAATCGAGACACAATGTGTGTCATAACGGATATATAGAAATAATGTAAGTGATTATTAAATTAAGTGTTATTCAAATAGTAAAAATTTCGAAAACTTGATGTGTGAAAAGTTGTAACAAGAAGAAAGATAAACACAACACTATATGACTATTACTTTTTGTTAACTTTTAATACACTTCATGCTACAGTTTACACATTTTTTTGTTTTTAAAACTTTTTTTTTAATAACTAAAAGATGTTTGAAAATATAAACACTTATATTTTATATTGTATTTGTATAGAATATATTTTCCCGTGTTTTCCTGTTTAGATGCGCAGAAGTCCATGTGGTCTATTGCGGCGAAAACTTTTTTAAAAGTAAACGCCTGACCATACATCAGCTGAGCGACTCAGCATTGACATACCCCTACTACCGAAGTTTTACCTCCTGTCTCTAGTCTTCTTGGTCTGTACATTGCTTAGAAGTTTAAATTTCGCCCATCCAAATGTACCAATAAAAAATTTCATGTCACAGAATTTTCCAACCGTGATATTAATAAATTTAAAAATTTGTTATTATTTGAAATAAAAGGCAAAATTAGAAATTGGTTATATTGGATAAAAATAAAGCTGTAAATTGGATAAATTGGATTAAAGGCAAAATTGGAAATTGGTTATATTGGATCAAAAAGCTGGAAATTGGTTAAATTGGATAAAAAGAAAAATTGGAAATTGGTTCTATTGGATAAAAACAAAGATGGGAATTGGTTAAATTGGATAAAAGGCAAAATTAGAGATTGGTTATATTGGATAAAAGGCAAAATTAAAAATTGGTTATATTGGATAAAAACAAAGCTGGAAATTGGTTAAATTGGATAAAAGGAAAAATTGGAAATTGGTTATATTGGATAAAAATAAAGCTGGAAATTGGATAAATTGGATAAAAGGCAAAATTAGAAATTGGTTATACACTGGAACCCCGAACTTTGGATTGTTTTGACATAGAGTATAGACAAAGTAGAGTGAGGGGTCGGTGGAAAGCGCGGACAAACGTTGAACTAGAAGCAGTAGCGTCTGCATAAAGTGTACCGTTTTGTGGCTCTTTTAAAAAACTTGTTAATAAATTGAATCTTGTGAATCAATTGTTAATTATAAATATAAAAAATTGAAAACAATGTTTTTCAATTATGTTTTAATAAATTGGCAACACAATTATCATTGAATATGCAATATTCATTAAGCGCATCTTCGTTTTAATGAAGCATACGGCCCTGAATATTTATACTTTCAGTCGTCAAGGTGTCCCCTCCGAACATTGGACACCATTACATTGCAGTCCAAAGTTTGGGGGTTCCAGTGTATTGGATAAAAGGCAAAATTAGAAATTGGTTATATTGGATAAAAGGCAAAATTGTAAATTGGTTCTATTGGTTAAAAACAATGCTGGAAATTGGTTAAATTGGATAAAAGGAAAAATTGGTTATATTGGATAAAAAAAACTGGAAATTGGTTAAATTGGATAAAATAAAAAATTAGAAATTGGTTATATTGGATAAAAACAAAGCTGGAAATTGGTTAAATTGGATAAAAGGAAAAATTGGAAATTGGTTATATTGGATAAGAACAAAGCTGGAAATTGTATAAAAGGCAAAATTGGAAATTGGTTATATTGGATAAAAAAGCTGATTTAAGTATTGTTGTCACTGAAGGAGCAATGCTAAATAATGATCATATGTATGAATTTTAAAAGCTATTCGGAAGACAATCAAATGTTTGTTATAATATGCAAAATACTTTGTGTTTACAAACACTTGATTTGATAGTTCCAATCGAGAAAAGTAAGCAGCACATTCAAACACTTTTTACTGGATCTTATAAATCTGGTCATTGGATTTGTACTTATTATGATGGAATTAGCCTTTACATTTTTGACAGTCTTAATAAAAAATGTTTAAATAATGATCAAAGAGATTATTTAATTAAATTATATCCTTTTGAACCACCAGTAGTTTTCACAACTGTTGATCAACCACCACAATACAGTCTTTCTTGTGAAGTATATGCAATAGCATTCGCAACATCGTTGTTTTTTAATATTATGCCCCACTCTGTCAATTACTATTATTGTAATAAGAGAAATCAGTTAATGTTAATGTTCGAAAACAATATGAAAGTTTATGAAAATTTCCCTCTGTACAGCTTTCTAATAGTTGATCTTGCATAGTTGTGTATGACTGGAATTGCCTTTTAAATGAAAAAGATATTCAACTTTAGTATGGAGAATCAAACTTTTCTAAAAACTCTATTAAGAAAGAAATTTCTTTCCCGAGAATAATAAATGAATTAAATGAAGGAAATACTGCATCAACAACACTTAAACAATGTAGGGCTGATATTCAAAAAAGTTATCGTGAGAGGCAAAAATTAAAACGTAAAATTAATAACGTAAGTTATTTAGGTGAAAAACACACTTCAACTAATAAAAAACTTCAAGTCGAATTTAAAATAGAATATGCTGAGAACCTTAAATTAAAAAATAAAAATAGTGATACAAGTTCTTTGTCAAAAACAAAGAATACTAGCAAGACAAACAATTCAGAAATTCCTGAGTTGCAATTATTGTTCACGTTGAAAAAAGGATTTGATAAAAATAGATACAATTTTTATAGTTTAAATGAAGTTTCTGCAGTTTTTAATACAAACTCTGAAGGAGAAATACCAGAATCTTATAAAACGGTTTATAATAAATCTACAAAGGAATTAAAATTGGTTAGTAATTTAGATCCGAATGTTGAACCATGGATTTATCCCATATTTTATCCACTTGGAAATAAGGGTTATAATATTAATATGATTCGTAGTGATAGTGATTACAGAATTAGAAATCATACTATTTCTAGGTCTGCCTACATTAAATACAAAATTGCTGTAAGAGATAAAGAATTTAATCAATTTTTATATGGAGGTAGATTGTTTCAACAATGGGTGGTTGAAAATGAAGTAAAAATAGAAAAAGATAGATTAAGATTTTTTGCAAATAATCAAGCTCAAGTTAGAAGTGAAAGATATAAAGGACTGATGGATTATTATTTACACAATCATGTGTAGGAAAATGATGTACACGTGTGAAAAACGCTTATATTGCCTTCTACTTTTATAGGATCACCTCGCAATATGATGCAACAATATCAGGATTCGATGGCTATTGTTGCTCGTCATGGTAGACCAGATTTATTTATCACAATGACGTGTAATCCAAATTGGAAAGAGATACAGGAAAATTTATTCCCCTATCAAACTGCTGCTGATAGACCTGATATAGTAACTAGGGTTTTCGCATTAAAAGTTAAACATCTACTTAAACCTATTGTTGATAATAAATTATTTGGAGAAGTCAAATCTTATGTTTATGTTATTGAATTTCAAAATCGAGGATTGCCACACATTCATTTGTTAGTTATATTGAAAGAAAATTCTAAAATATTAACAGTTGAAAGTGTTGATCGTTATATTTTTGCAGAAATTCCTGATGAAAATATCAATCCTATTTTACATAAAATAATAATGCAAAATAATATTCACGGACTTTGTGGAGATTGGTATTTAATTGATGGGAAATGTTCAAAAAAATTGTCCAAAAAGTTACCAAGAAGAAACTACAATTGAAGAAAATTGCTATGTTCATTGTCGTCGAAGAAATAATAATAAAGCGTATGAACGACCAAATGGATTTATTGTTGATAATTCTAATGTTGTTCCGTATTGTCCTAAACTTTCAGAAATATTTATTTGACATATTAATTAAGAAATATTTTCGATTATCAAGTCTGATAAAAATTTATATAAATATATTCTCAAAGAGCAGGATGATGCATCTATTGTTATCACAAATGCAAATTGTGAGGTAACTGTTAATCATAATGAAATACATCATTA